TTATATAATTGTTTGGCGTTTAGTGTAACTTCCAGTTAAAAAAAAAAGTTTTAAAGTGTGTGAAAAAATTGTCCTGGTAGAAAAGAGGTTAAAAGAGGGCGGAGCCCAACAGCCTTGCTGTGTGCAAAAAAAAAGTTTTTCTGAAGGTTTTTAGTTTCGCTTCCTATTTCTTCAGCAAGGAAGGACAATTGTGCTCCTGGATTTTTCCATCTGCCTGAAGATTTATTTGGATCTGTAACCCTCAGTGGTGGACCTACCCTATTTCTGCGGCCATCAGGGACTGGATGCATGGAGGTTGTTCTTGTCCTGAGTTTGATCGGTGATTTGCACTACAAAGGAATTTAAAAAGACATTGAGAAAAATTTCCTGCTTCAGAAGAAAGTGTCATCTTTTCTGCTAACTACCATGACTGTACGGAGGGTTAGCTCCTGTTTACTGAAACTTCTCTGCTTTGATCACATGAAAGTCCATAGCGAGCTGACAAATCTTATGGGATCCACCACATCTGTGGAGAACTGAAGATTTAGAAGGAGATCCTGAAATATCACTGCCTAAAGCGCTAACAGAGCGGATACCTGGAGAAGAGAAGATCCAGAAGGTGCCCTGAGGTAGTATCAGAGCCCCCCTAGAGAGCAAAATATTCAGGAGATCCTGGGGTTCCATTGCTCTGAGGAAGCACACTAGGGTGTATCCAGAAGGTCCAGAAGAAGATACTGAGGTATCATTGCCCTGAGGAAACACCAGGGGGAATGCCAAGAGAACAGATGATCTAGAAGGTGCCCTGAGGTAGTATCAGAGGCCCCCTAGAGAACAAAATATTCAGGAGATCCTGGGGTGTCATTGCTCTGAGGAAGCACACTAGGGTGTATCCAGAAAACAGAAGATACTGAGGTATCATTGCCCTGAGGAAACACCAGAGGGAATGCCAAGAGTACATAAGATCTATAAGGTGCCCCTGAGGTAGTAGCAGAGGCCCCATAGAGAGCAAAATATTCAGAAGGAGATCCTGGGGTGTCACTGCTCTGAGGAAACACACTAAGGTGTATACAGAAAACAGAAGATACTGAGGTATCATTGCCCTGAGGAAACACTAGAAGGAATGCCAAGAGAACAGAAGTTCTAGAAGGAGATTGTAGAGTATCACTGCCCTAAAGAAGCACCAGAAGTAATTCCTGGAGAACAATAGATCCATAAGGAGGTCCTGGGGTACAAACCCTGAGGAAACAAACGAGGGGATCCTTGGGGAACAAAATATCCAGAAGGAGGATCCTATAGGAGGCACTAGAGGGGACCACTGGAGAACAGTAGATCCAGTAGGAGGTCCTGAGGTATAACCACCCTGAAGAAGAACCAAAGGGGATCCCTGGAGAACAGAAGGAGATTCTGGGGAATCACTGCCTGAGGAAACACCAGAGGCCTCTGGAGACCAGGCAATCCAGGAGAAAATAGGGTATCACTGCCTTCACAATACAACAGAAGTCTCTGGAGAACAGAAAATCCAGAAGGAGATCCTAAGACATCACAACCCTGAGGGAGCACCAGAAAGGGCCCCTAAATAAAAGCTGCAAACTGCCAACTGAAGAAACCAGAAAGTGAGATAAGAGATCAACATCTGCTGGGCACGGTGCAGTCAAACGGTCCTTGAGATGTTCCTAAACAAGTTCTAATGCCTTCATGAGAACGAAGCTGATGGTGGTCTTGGGTTTGTTAAAGGCAAGTATATTGTTCCAAATTCTCAAATGACCCAGAAATGGGTAATTTCTAGAAGCTACTGAATTAAAATATTAAACTAAACTTCATCCTAAAATGATAACAGTTTAGGTTCATTTTGTTATAATACTTTCCTAAAATTTATATCAATAAGTCTGTAGGCCCCAAATCCACTTCTAAGTATGTTTGGTATCCTGCACACTATATCCTATCTTCCTATGGTGACCCTCTTAGCACAGGGTGACTTTATATAAAAGTATACCTGTAATAAATGGGGCAATATACCTACCTTTCCGGTGACCCTTTTATTTGAAGAACCTCCCCTTTGGGTCTTCTAAGCTTTCCACCAATCAGATAGGAAGAATACACCCACAGTGGTTCCTCCCACTGACTCATAGTCCTGTAGTGAAACCACAGTGTGTCGGGGAGGATGCAGGTATTCCACTCCCAGTCCCTCTCCTCCCCACCACAGGGTGTTGGAGGCTAGAGCAGGTTGCAAAAGGCCTTTTGGGCCACGCCAGGGGTTCCCTGTGAGGTTACCCCCCTGGAAGACCTGGGAGAAGTGTACTAAAGCAGAGGTGAACTGACACATCTTACACCTTATCTATCTGTACAATTCCAGCTACCCTGAACATCTATGCAGTGGCGACCCGAGGCAGATGAGGGGGGCGCGCGCCACACCGGGTGACACCTACCGCACGGGATGACACCGGACCCGCTCCACGAAACAGTAAGTTGTAAAGAAAGCCGACGATCCCCGCAGGATGGATCGGATCTGCGGATTGAGCATAATGGATCGGATTCATTCTGCGGGGATCGTAGGAGGGGGTGTCACCAAGTGTTATCGCCAACCCTAGGGGCGCCCCTGCATCTATGATATTGTACTCAGAAATGTAACTTTTAATATTTAATTGTACCTTTATATTACCTATTGAGTATAATCATTTTAGAGAGTTATGTAACACATTGACCTTTATTAGTATTTGTATCACTCCCTGTCACGCCCAGAGAGGAATGTAACAGACTGTACCCTAGGGCAGATTTTTAAATATCGTATTACTGAAGAAGAAAAGGAAACGGTGCAAGAAACATATACTAGGTAACATTATAGAAAATATAGAAAGAAGAGAAGATAAATATATTATAAAACAGACCTAAAAGGGTTAAAACATTTTAAAAACGACTTAAGTGGAGTCCAACTCAGTACAGTGCAGAGTTCGGACCAAGTAGATCCAAAAGCAAAACCTTTTTTTTTTATCATTTGGGATGGAGTAAGGGAAGGTATAACTTCTGGCAATTTTCTTTTGACATCCGTGTCCCGTTGGGAAGATTTCCACTTCCTGTCCCAAAGACAAAACAGGAAATGAAAGGAAAGCCCTCCAAATTGAAGGAATCCTTGGTTGTCACCAGAGTCACTGGAACTAGTGTCCCCATTGGAAGATATTCGTGTTCTTGTGACAACTCAAAATTTGGAAATTTCTGTTACTTTCACGTTCGGTGATTATGGTAAAAAGGGCAAATAAAGAAGGGTGATTCTCACTAATAGGGGAACAGACAGCAAAAAAAAAACAAAACAAAACCTGACAGGTGTTCTAATCCTTCTCCGTTCTGTTTTATTAAGATTAGATCCAATTTAATGTTGACACTAGTCACTGGCCCTCATAAATGACTCTCAGTATTCCTTAATACACTATATTGCCAAAAGTATTGGGCTGCCGGCCTTTCCACGCACATGACCTTTAATGGCCCCCCAGTCTTAGTCCGTAGGGTTCAATATTGAGTTGGCCCCGCCCTTTCCACACACATGACCTTTAATGGCCTCCCAGTCTTAGTCCGTAGGGTTCAATATTGAGTTGGCCCCGCCCTTTCCACACACATGACCTTTAATGGCCCCCCAGTCTTAGTCCGTAGGGTTCAATATTGAGTTGGCCCCGCCCTCTGCAGCTATAACAGCTTCAACTCTTCTGGGAAGGCCGTCCACAAGGTTTAGGAGGGTGTCTATGGGAAGGTTGGACCATTCTTCCAGAAGTACATTTGTCAGGTCAGGCACTGATGTCGGGGGAGGTGGCCTGGCTCGCAGTCTCCGCTCTAATTTATCCCAAAGGTGTTCTATGGGGTTGAGGTCAGGACTCTGTGCAGGACAGTCAAGTTCCTCCACCCCAAACTGGCTCCTCCATGTCTTTATGGACCTTGCTTTGTGCACTGGTGGGCAGTCATGTTGGAACAGGAAGGGGCCATCCCCAAACTCTCCCACAAAGTTGGGAGCATGAAATTGTCCAAAATGTCGCCTTAAGAGTTCCCTTCACTGGAACTAGGGGGGCCAAGCCCAACCTCTGAAAAACAACCCCACACCATAATCCCCCCTCCACCAAACTTTACACTGGGCACAACGCAGTCAGGCAAGTACCGTTCTCCTGGCTACCGCCAAACCCAGACACGTCCATCAGACTGCCAGACAGAGAAGTGTGATTGGTCACTGGACTCTAGAGCAGAGGAGACATGTTCTCTGGAGTGACCAATCACACTTCTCTGTCTGGCAATCCGATGGACGTGTCTGGGTTTGGCGGAGGCCAGGAGAACGGTACTTGCCTGACTGCATTGTGCCAAGTGTAAAGTTTGCAGTCTGCAGTCTCTGCCCATCTCTTGTACTATGTCTGCAGTCTCTGACCATCTCTTGTAGTATGTCTGCAGTCTCTGACCATCTCCTGTACTATGTCTGCGGTCTCTGCATCTCTTGTAGTATGTCTGCAGTCTCTGACCATCTCCTGTAGTATGTCTGCAGTCTCTGACCATCTCCTGTAGTATGTCTGCAGTCTCTGACCATCTCCTGTAGTATGTCTGCAGTCTCTGACCATCTCCTATACTATGTCTGCAGTCTCTGACCATCATCTGTAATATGTCTGCAGTCTCTGACCATCTCCTGTAGTATGTCTGCAGTCTCTGACCATCTCCTGTAGTATGTCTGCAATCTCTGACCATCTCATGTAGTATGTTTTCAGTCTCTGACCATCTCCTGTAGTATGTCTGCGGTCTCTGACCATCTCTTGTAGTATGTCTGCAGTCTCTGACCGTCTCCTGTAGTATGTCTGCAGTCTCTGACCATCTCATGTCTGCAGTCTCTGACCATCTCCTGTAGTATGTCTGCAGTCTCTGACCGTCTCCTGTACTATGTCTGCAGTCTCTGACCATTTCCTGTAGTATGTCTGCAGTCTCTGACCATCTCCTGTAGTATGTCTGCAGTCTCTGACCATCTCCTGTAGTATGTCTGCAGTCGCTGACCATCTCCTGTAGTATGCATGCAGTCTCTGACCATCTTCTGTAGTATGTCTGAAGTCTCTGACCATCTTTTGTAATATATCCACAGTCTCTGACCATCTCCTGTAGTATGTCTGCGGTCTCTGACCATCTCTTGTAGTATGTCTGCAGTCTCTGACCGTCTCCTGTAGTATGTCTGCAGTCTCTGACCATCTCATGTCTGCAGTCTCTGACCATCTCCTGTAGTATGTCTGCAGTCTCTGACCGTCTCCTGTACTATGTCTGCAGTCTCTGACCATTTCCTGTAGTATGTCTGCAGTCTCTGACCATCTCCTGTAGTATGTCTGCAGTCTCTGACCATCTCCTGTAGTATGTCTGCAGTCGCTGACCATCTCCTGTAGTATGCATGCAGTCGCTGACCATCTCCTGTAGTATGTCTGAAGTCTCTGACCATCTTTTGTAATATATCCACAGTCTCTGACCATCTCCTGTAATATGTCTGCAGTCTCTGACCATCTTCTGTAGTATGTCTGAAGTCTCTGACCATCTCCTGTAGTATGTCTGAAGTCTCTGACCATCTCCTGTAGTATGTCTGAAGTCTCTGACCATCTCCTGTAGTATGTGTGAAGTCTCTGACCATCTCCTGCAATATGTCCACAGTCTCTGACCATCTCCTGTAATATGTCCACAGTCTCTGACCATCTCCTGTAATATGTCCACAGTCTCTGACCATCTCCTGTAATATGTCCACAGTCTCTGACCATGTCTTCATGCTCATACTCATTTGATTGTAGCCAGTGTCTCTGACACAGAATATTCACTGAATTGTTTTTGGTGATGTATAGGTCCACTCCTGAGTCCCTAAATATCAAGGAAGTTGGCCACCACTGTCCTAGGATATGTTTGGATTGAAATGTCTTTGAAGCCTTCGTTACTGTTGTTTGGAAATGTAGCTTTTTGTTCTGTGTTGCACACATTTTATTTGATTAATGAAATACTGAAGTAACAAAAAAAATGTATTTTTACAGAAATCTCCAGCGAGCCATGGAGGAGGGAGTCCCCAAGCGAGATGAGGGCCCACTCTCATTGATCTGATCCAGCAATTGTCCACAATGACACCTCACACTGACAAATTGTGTACCGTGATGGATCACTGCCACCTTCACTGAACCCCTCCATGCTGTATGGGTATCGTTGGGTTGCATAATGATACCTTGGAGCGTATCTTCAGAGGCCTTAGACCAGATGATGGAGAGGTTGGAGGATGCAGACATATTGCTAGATGTGAACACAGCCAGTAATCTTCTAGATATATCAGATGATGGGAAATGGGCCTCCTGGTCCTATGAAGACCAAAATCGTCCCGAAACCTCACAGAGATTTCAGGGCTGCCCACAAGTGTTAAGCAGCCAGAGCTTCGACTCAGGACGACACTTCTGGGATGTGGATGTGGCGCAAACCTATAGCTGGAAACTCGGCATATGTTACCCCAGCTTAGAGAGGGCTGGAACGCCTGAGTCAGCAATTGGAAATAATGACAAGTCATGGTGCTTGGACAAGGATGGTTCAGAGTATTCGGTGAGACATGCCGGTAATATCACCCAGTTACCCTACCACTTCTTCTTTGACAAGATCAGGATATATCTAGATTACGAGGCCGGGCAGCTGTCGTTTTACCAGCTGAGTGAACCGATCCGACACCTTCACACCTTCACCGCCACCTTCATCGAGCCCCTCCATGCTGTAATGTGTGTATGGAAGGGGTATATAAGGATATCTGGATATCCCACAAACGTCTCAGAGGAATCAGACATGGAAAATTTATGGTGCACGGAGGAAGGACTGTCAGAGATTGCAGAACTGCAACTGGACGGCAATACCGCAAGCAACCTTCTAGATATCTCAGATGACCAGAAAACTGCATCCAGGTCCTATATACACCACAACCGCCCGGAGACACCAGGCAGATTCCATTGGCCTCAGGTGCTAAGCAGTCAAAGTTTCTCCTCTGGGAAACACATATGGGAAGTTAGTCTGCATTCCCGTAGCTGGATCGTCGGGATGTGTTACCCCAGCACAGACCGGACACAATGGCAGTCGGTGATCGGAAATAACCTCAAATCATGGTGTTTGGCCAGCTATGGTCAACAGTATTCAGTGATACATAACAAGCACGATCGATGGTTACCAGGCAGGATCTCCAGTAATAAAGTCAGGATCTATCTAGATTACGAGGCCGGAAAGATCTCGTTTTATGAGCTGTGTGACCCAACGCGCCACTTACACACCTTCACCGCCACCTTCACGGAACCGCTCCATGCTGTGTTGTGTGTATGGGAGGGTTGTGTGACCACATCTGGAGGACAAAATATGGAGGAAGTGCAGCAAACATTGGACTCAATGGGAGTTGAAGGCCTATTACTAGATGTGGACACGGCTTCTAACCAGCTATTTCTATCACATGACAGGAATGTGCCTTTTGGTCGTATCATTTGCAAAATCGGCCAAATAATCCAAAGAGGTTCTGCCATCCTCAGGTGTTAAGCTGTCAGACATTCTCCTCGAGACGACTCTACTGGGAAGTAGATGTGGGAGCATCGGACAGTTGGAGAGTTGGAATGTGCTATCCCAGTATAGACAGGTCAGGATGGCAGGCGGTAATCGGAAACAACCATAAGTCATGGTGCTTGGTGAGGTTGAAGGATCGCTATTCGGTAATGCACGATGGCAATGAGACGCAGTTGGCCATGAATATCTCCAGTAATCGATTCGGTATATTTCTAGATTATGAAGCCGGTCAGCTCTCCATTTATTCCATGAATGAACCAATCCGCCATTTGCATTCTTTCACTGCCACCTTCACTGAACCCCTCCATGCTGCAATATGGGTATCGTTGGGTTGCATAATGATACCTTGGAGCGTATCTTCAGAGGCCTTAGAGCAGATGTTGGAGAGGTTGGAGGAGGCAGACCTATTGCTAGATGTGGACACAGCCAGTAATCTTCTAGATATATCAGATGATGGGAAATGGGCCTCCTGGTCCTATGAAGACCAGAATCGTCCCGAAACCCCACAGAGATTTCAGGGCTGCCCACAAGTGTTAAGCAGCCAGAGCTTCGACTCAGGACGACACTTCTGGGATGTGGATGTGGCGCAAACCTATAGCTGGAGACTCGGCATTTGTTACCCCAGCTTAGAGAGGGCAGGAACGCCTGAGTCAGTGGTTGGAAATAATGACAAGTCATGGTGCTTGGACAAGGATGGTTCTCAGCATTCGGTGAGACACGCCGGTAATGTGACCCAGTTACCCTACCACATCTCCGGTGACACAATCAGGATATATCTAGATTACGAGGCCGGGCAGCTGTCGTTTTACCAGCTGAGTGACCCGATCCGACACCTTCACACATTCACCGCCACCTTCATCGAGCCCCTCCATGCTGTAATGTGTGTATGGGAGGGGTATATAAGGATATCTGGTGGAGGATCGGCACATGTGAACGATCGATTAGAAGACCAGTGAAACGGCAAAGTTAGGGAACGTGACTGGTACACTATTGGCACAACTGGCCAAACTTCTCACCGTTTGTTCTGGTGTGGGGGGGGGGTCACTTTTTATGCTGGACCATAAAAATAATAGACTTAGTTAGGAAATTCGATTGGCTGTATGACATCTGGGGTCTAAGATCGGGCATTTTATAATTGGTGAAATGGGAGATGGGAAAAATTGGGTTTTAAAAGTTTTTCAGTTTGTTGTGAAAGCTCCTTTTATCTGTTCTGATACCCAAAAAGTAATTCCAGACACAGCAGTCACATGACTTTGATGATAAACGAAGCCGTGTGGTCACTATACTCAGGGGTCTCCAAACATTTCAAACAAAGGGCCAGTTTACTGTCCTTGAGACCTAATGGGGGCCGAGCTATGGCCAGTGGGAGTAGAAAGTGGTGGCTAGTGAAAGTAAACAACGCCCTATCTTTGGTGTCAGTGGGAGGAATAGTGCCCCATCATTGGTGTCAGTGGGAGGAATAGTGCCCCATCATTGGTGTCAGTGAGAGGAATAGTGCCCCATAATTGGTGTCAGTGGGAGGAATAGTGCCCCATCATTGGTGTCAGTGGGAGGAATAGTGCCCCATCATTGGTATCAGTGGGAGGAATAGTGCCCCATCATTGGTGTCAGTGGGAGGAATAGTGCCCCATCACTGGTGTCAGTGGGAGGAATAGTGCCCCATAGTTGGAATAGAAGGAATAGTTCCTCATTATTGGTGTCAGTGGGAGGAATAGCGCCTCATCATTAGAATTGAAGGAGGGAATTCTGCCCCATTGTTGGTGTCAGTGAGAAGAATTTTGCACTTTTGTTGGTATCAATGAGAGGAATAGTGCCCCATCATTGGTATAAATGGAAAGAACTCTGCCCAGTCCTTGGTGTCAGTGGGAGGAATAGTGCCCCATCATTGGTGTCAATGGGAGGAATAGTGCCCTTTCTTTGGTGTCAGTGGGAGGAATAGTGCCCCATCATTGGTGTCAATGGGAGGAATAGTGCCCTTTCTTTGGTGTCAGTGGGAGGAATAGTGCCCCATTACTGGTGTCAGTGACAGGAATTATGCCCCGTTGTTGGTGTCAGTGGATGGAAGAGTGCCCCAAGGGCCAGAGAAAAGCAAGCAAAGGGCTGTATCTGGCCCCAGGGCCGCACTTTGGAGACCACTGACTTTGCTCATCAAGTGGCTTTGTTCATCAACAAAGCCATGTGCTTACAGGGACACGGGGGTCACATGACCGTGCACTAACAACGCAGTGTGCTTACTGGGATCCGGGGGGGGGGACACATGAATGTGCACCAACAAAGCCATGTGCTTACAGGGACACGGGGGTCACATGACTGTGCCAACAAAGCCATGTGATGCAGTGAGGATGCCATAAAATGGACCTTGGAATTGCTGCTGCTGCTCTGCGAGGGTGGGGCTTCTAGTTCAGGACGCAGGGGCTGAGTGGTGGTTGCACTGTGAATGGTACACACATGATGGAACGACAATTCGGATGGCATTGCTTCCTATGTTACATGTGAAGGACTCTTCTATAACAATGAAGTTGCACAGATCCGGGTATCCCGCCCCTAGCCGGAACCCGCCATGATCCCATCACACGGAACTCAGGAAATTAATAATATAAATAAATAAATAATCTGTACAAAAAAAAAGCCCCAAACTTTTATTTCTGTTCACATAAAACAGGGGTCTCCGTGGTACGGCCCGGGGGGGAGGGGGGGGCAAGAGTTTTTTTCTGGTCAGTGGGGTATCCTCAATGTAGATTGAGTGAGCATTAAGGTCAGCAGGGGCTGCTTATGGTCTCCGCCTTCTTATATAATGGGGGGGACTCTGATGTCAGGGGGGCTCTGATGAGGACACTGATGTAAGGGGGACTCTGAAGGGGACACTGATGTAAGGGGGGACTCTGATGGGGACACTGATGTAAGGAGGGCTCTGAAGGGGACACTGATGTAAGGGGGGGCTCTGATGGGGACACTGATGTAAGGGGGCACTCTGATGGGGACACTGATGTAAGGGGGGCTCTGAAGGGGACACTGATGTAAGGGGGGCTCTGATGGGGACACTGATGTAAGGGGGGCTCTGATGGGGACACTGATGTAAGGGGGGGCTCTGATGGGGACACTGATGTAAGGAAGGGCTCTGTTGGGGACACTGATGTAAGGGGGGCTCTGATGGGGACACTGATGTAAGGGGGGGCTCTGATGAGGACATTGATGTAAGGGGGCACTCTGATGGGGAGACACTGATGTAAGGGGGGCTCTGATGAGGACACTGATGTAAGGGGGCACTCTGATGGGGAGACACTGATGTAAGGGGGGCTCTGATGGGAACACTGATGTAAGGGGGGCTCTGATGGGGACACTGATGTAAGGGGGGCTCTGATGAGGACACTGATGTAAGGGGGGCTCTGATAGGGACACTGATGTAAGGGGGGCTCTGATGGGGACACTGATGTAAGGGGGGCTCTGATGGGAACACGGATGTAAGGGGGGCTCTGATGGGGACACTGATCTAAGGGGGGCTCTGATGAGGACACTGATGTAAGGGGGCTCTGATGTAAGGGGGGCTCTGATGGGGACACTGATGTAAGGGGGGCTCTGATGGGGACACTGATGTAAGGGGGGCTCTGATGGGAACACGGATGTAAGGGGGGCTCTGATGGGGACACTGATCTAAGGGGGGCTCTGATGGGGACACTGATGTAAGGGGGCTCTGATGTAAGGGGGGCTCTGATGGGGACACTGATGTAAGGGGGGCTCTGATGAGGACACTGATGTAAGGGGGGCTCTGATGGTGACACTGATGTAAGGGGGGCTCTGATGAGGACACTGATGTAAGGGGGGCTCTGATGGTGACACTGATGTAAGGGGGGCTCTGATGGGGACACTGATGTAAGGGGGGCTCTGATGAGGACACTGATGTAAGGGGGGCTCTGATGGGGACACTGATGTAAGGGGGGCTCTGATGGGGACACTGATGTAAGGGGGGCTCTGATGGGGACACTGATGTAAGGGGGGCTCTGATGAGGACACTGATGTAAGGGGGGCTCTGATGGGGACACTGATGTAAGGGGGGCTCTGATGAGGACACTGATGTAAGGGGGGCTCTGATGGGAACACTGATGTAAGGGGGGCTCTGATGGGGACACTGATGTAAGGGGGGCTCTGATGGGAACACTGATGTAAGGGGGGCTCTGATGGGGACACTGATGTAAGGGGGGCTCTGATGAGGACACTGATGTAAGGGGGGCTCTGATGGGGACACTGATCTAAGGGGGGCTCTGATGAGGACACTGATGTAAGGGGGGCTCTGATGGTGACACTGATGTAAGGGGGGCTCTGATGGGAAAACTGATGTAAGGGGGGCTCTGATGGGGACACTGATGTAAGGGGGGCTCTGATGGGAACACTGATGTAAGGGGGGCTCTGATGGGGGACACTGATGTAAGGGGGGCTCTGATGAGGACACTGATGTAAAGGGGGCTCTGATGGGGACACTGATGTAAGGGGGGCTCTGATGGGAACACTGATGTAAGGGGGGCTCTGATGGGGACACTGATGTAAGGGGGGCTCTGATGGGAACACTGATGTAAGGGGGGCTCTGATGGGAACACTGATGTAAGGGGGGCTCTGATGGGGACACTGATGTAAGGGGGGCTCTGATGAGGACACTGATGTAAGGGGGGCTCTGATGGGGACACTGATGTAAGGGGGGCTCTGATGGGAACACTGATGTAAGGGGGGCTCTGATGTAAGGGGGGGCTCTGATGGGGACACTGATGTAAGGGGGGCTCTGATGGGGACACTGATGTAAGGGGGGCTCTGATGGGGACACTGATGTAAGGGGGGCTCTGATGGGGACACTGATGTAAGGGGGGCTCTGATGTAAGGGGGGGCTCTGATGGGGACACTGATGTAAGGGGGGCTCTGATGGGGACACTGATGTAAGGGGGGCTCTGATGGGGACACTGATGTAAGGGGGCTCCGGAGGGCGGAGCTTTGTGTTCTAGTTGCGGGTGGAGTGGGAAGGGTTGCAGCCTCTGCCAGGTCTCTGCGATTCTTCCTCTCTGCTTGTCCTGGTGACCATGATCAGGAAGTGGGGGGGGGGGGGGGGAAATGTGACAGCCGACCCCACAACAGGAAGTGACAAGTTGGGAATTCGCTTCACTTTGCAGACAATTCCTCTCACTTCCTGTTGCACGTTCAGGACAGGAAGTGAGGGCAAATCTCCCCCAATGGAAAAAAAAATTAAAATGAACTTTTCCCCCCGTCTGTGCATTTTTCTTAAAAATGGCGGCTTTACGTTACAAAGTCATCACAAATTCCAAATCCAATACATTGGAACAGCGCTGAGGTTCACATCCTCTAGCCAGGGTGACACCGCTGCTTCCTGTTGCAGTTTTGCAGCTCCCAGTGTCATCCGTCTTCCAGATGAACTCCTGTGAGCATCCTGTGTTCTCCTTTTTCCTGAATGCTGCCTCCACACCGCCCTTTCCAGACCCCCAGTGCCTGAAACATGTTAGTCTACATGTGCAAGAGTGGTTTGGCCCATGTGCATCAAATTCTGGTGTTTTTAGATGCCTCCCCTTCCAGACCCCCAGAGCCTGAAACATGCTAGTTTACATTTGTAAGAGTGGTTTGGCCCATGTGCATCAAATCCTGGCTTTTCAGGCGCCTCCCCTTCCAGACCCCCCAGTGTCTGAAACATGTTAGTCTACATGTGTAAGAGTGGTTTGGCCCATGTGCATCAAATCCTTACGTTTATAGGCACCTCCCCTTCTAGACCCCCAGTGCATGAAACATGTTAGAGCCCCAGTGCCTATAACATGTTAAACCCCCAGTGCCATGACTATCAAAACCTGGTGTTTTTAGGTGCCTCCCTTTCTAGACCCCCAGTGCCTGAAACATGTTAGACCCCCAGTGCCATGTCTATCAAAACCTGGTGTTTTCAGGCACCTCCCCTTCTAGACCCCCAGTGCCTGAAACATGTTAGACCCCCAGTGCCATATCTATCAAAACTTGGTGTTTTAAGGCGCCTCCCCTTCCAGACCCCCAGTGCCTGAAACATGTTAATCTACATGTGGAAGAGTGGTTTGGCCCATGTGCATGAAATCCTGACATTTGTAAGCGCCTCCCTTCCAGACCCCAAGTGCCTGAAACATGTTAGACCCCCAGTGCCATGTGCATCAAATCCTGGCGTTTTCAGGCACCTCCCCTTCTAGACCCCAAGTCCCTGAAACATGTTAGACCCCCAGTGCCATGTGCATCAAATCCTGGTGTTTTAGGCTCCTCCCCTTCTAGACCCCCAGTGCCTGAAACATGTTAGACCCCCAGTGCCATGTGCATCAAATCCTGGCATTTTCAGGCACCTCCCCTTCTAGACCCCAAGTCCCTGAAACATGTTAGACCCCCAGTGCCATGTGCATCAAATCCTGGCGTTTTCAGGCACCTCCCCTTCTAGACCCCCAGTGCCTGAAACATGTTAGACCCCCAGTGTCATGTGCATCAAATCCTGGTGTTTTTAGGCTCCTCCCCTTCTAGACCCCCAGTGCCTGTAACATGTTAGTCTACATGTGGGAGGGCGGTGTGGCCTGTTCATCCAATAGGGAGACTCTTTCGCCATAAAAGGTACAAGTCGGTTGTTTCTATATTTTTAGTTTTACCTTCAGCCATTTTT